TCTTTCCCCATTTCTTATAAGCTCCTTTCTCCCAGCCCAGGAAGATGTCATTCTCCTAAAATAAGGTGGGACAAGTTTCAGTGATCAAGACGAACAAGTTTCAAACGCTATTACCTTCTATATACTTGTACGTACGTTCCCCTCCCAAATACAGTCATTCATAAAATGGTACACACTAATAAGAGACCACAGGATACTGTCCATGGAGAACTTCGGGATAATCCATCTGTCTGGTATCTATTATTGAGATTATTATGATTTATTACAGATAATCTTAATAAATTTGACCCACTTAGATTTATAGGAAATGCTAATAAACAACTCGGACATTTGTGTGTAAATCAAGTGTCACTTAGATTTCAGTATTAGTCCTGAACTATGCACACAATTAAACGTCCTCTCTCCTGTACGTCCCGCTCACCGACGGTGAGCGCTGCTGTTAGCATTAGATTTTAACGGTTAACAGTTAAACGGTCCAATCCCTATCTCTGTATCTTGTAGTCTAAAAAACAGATATAAAATATTTTATGTTACTGTTTGAAGTTGAGTTTTTCCTTTGATTATATAATGCCCATTATAAAAATCTGAAGAATTTTGAAAAGTAGGAAGCAAGCAAATCATCCACGACCCTAACACCCAGTGAAAACTAGAACGATTTGGCCTGTGGCATTTGGGAGACCGGGACTTTTGAAAATTAATGTTTTAATATCTTTGGCTACTTAGTTTTGTCTTTTAAAAAGCCTTTATTTGATAAATTATGATTAAAACCAGTGGAGAGACAAGGAAAAAAAAGATTAGCTAAATTAAGACAATGGAAAAATTAAGAAAATTATTTAGAAGAGTACTTAGCCTACAGTGGGCCCTCAGGAAATAGATATCAATAAATGGATGAGAAGGAATAAAGAAGGAAAAGCATAACAATAATTCACTCAAAAGATCTGTGAGGACCAATCATAAACCATCTAACCCAATTTTTACTTTGATCCAATACAAAACAACTACTTTTATGCCGACGGATTAAGAGTAGGAGAAGGATCCTCCACCCGCCATAATTAGCACATTTCTTACTTAATTTCTTGGGCACGTCTGCAGATCTCATGAACCTGAAAAACATATTTTCTGGTTGAGTGGAGTCAATTCCATTTTCCAAGGGAAAATGCGTGACAGCCAAGTAGGAACTATCGGTGTATTCCCACTTATCAGATGTGTCTGGCTGGACCACTCTGAAACCTGACATTCTGTGCCAAAGACGTCTTTGGGACATAGGGCTTGTCCTTTAATGGGAACAGGGGACAGAACCGTAACGATGTAGACCCAAAGCTTCTGAAGGCAGAGAAAAAGGCTGTAATACTCCCTCTTGCTCATAGTGCATAAATGAGGTGGAAACAGGACTCCTTTTCGTATGAGCAGCTCAGACTGGCTCTTGACTGCACGTTATAAACAGGTTTCTCTACTGAAGCTGTCCTATAGCTCAGCAGAGGTAGCACATACTCAAAAGTCTTAATTAAGTTTCATTAGACGGAAGGGACTTTCAAAATTACATGGACATGCAGTCCTCCGGAGGGCAGTTTGACAATATATATCAGACACCTTAAACATGTACATGTACTTTCAATCCGGTAATTCTGCTTCTAAAGAAAGAGGCACCAAGGTGCACACAGGTCTCGCCGCAGCGATGTTGAGCCTGCACCTGTCGATATGGCAAATTTGCAGAGACAACCTAAACATCAGATGCGGAGGGCTTGGTTAAATCGCTGATTCATCCAGGTGATATCATAACCACTAAGGAGATTACGAAGCATATTTATTGACCTGGAAAGCTATTCACAATATACGCAAAGTAACTTGTACAAAAGTATGATCTCATGTCTAGTTAAAATACACGCACCCATTAATATGCATTAAAAGGTCTGAGAGAAACGCACTAAGAGGTCACCAAGAAGCTTGTCTCTTGGTGAATAGGTGTAGGACAATGATTGTTTTTGCAATTAGGTCATATTCCTTTAATAGTCAAAAGGGTTTTGTTTGTTTGTTTGTTGATGGAAAACCTGTAAGAACAGACACATGAGAGAAGAGACGAGCTCCTGGAGACGGCCACGGGAACGGCTATGCGGCATCGGCTTTCCGTTTCCCGTCTGGTGTGTCTTTATTTAGGAAACACAAAAGACGCCCATCTTTTTCTTGGTCTGGTTGGTAAGCAAAGGCTTCCTACAGAAGAAGGGGCCACGGAGGCAGAGTCTTAAAGAGGGAGCAGAAGTCTGGGCTGGAGTGAAGGGGGATACCAGGTGGTAGAAAGAATGGGACGAAGCAAGGGACAGAAATCTTTTCCTACAGGGTTCGGAGAGCACAATTCAGTGGCTTTTAGAATAATCACAGGCTATGCAACCATCACCACTACCTAATTTTCAAACATTTTCATCGCCCCAAATGGAAAGCCTGTCCCCATCAGCAGTCACTTGCTGGCTTCGTGTACTGTGTGAATATATTATAACTTATTTAACCAAGAGCATTGAACTAATAATCAGGTCTTAAAAGAACATAATATAAAAAATGTTCAGGGTATTTCTACTTTACTGTTTTTAGTCTCCTGTGCTGTACTAATTAAAAGTCCACTTAGACATAAACATAAAATATTAGACATGTAAAATATTACTCAGTAAACTCAAGCATGAGTTTTTCAAACTCACAGTCTTAAAGACAGAACCCAATTACCCAGCACCAAAGGAAGGCATGGCAAAGGACTCTCAGCATGGGGGTCTGTCTACCAGGCACCTTCTCAGACGTGAAGGTGACGTGAGGCTCGAGTCTGACGGCCCTCCCCTTGCTGCCTTCTAAAAGGGAACTGGGAACTGGGGGAAGAAAAAGAACGCGACATTCTGAAATACAGCTGGGATCAGTGACGTCTGCTGTTCGCTGCTGGGTGTCCACCCTGCCTCCCACGCCTTCCCACTAACAGCGTCCTAAAATACCGAAACCACGATGTCTTTGAATGGGACTAATGCCACCCCCATCTTTGGGCCCTAACTGGCTTCATACAAATCAGCGTGTTTTATCCCTTTGGCCACAGAGATTGGCTCAGAGAAGCACGTGACCCAAAAGAAACGAGCCCCAAAGGGGGAGGGGGCTGGTGTTGCTGGGTGTGCAGGGCGCACGGCCTCCAGGTAGTGCATGAGGAGAAAGGTGTTGTGCTCATTGTCATTTGCCCTCTATCCCCAGGGAGCTGGCTGCAAATCCGAGCTGACAGC